GAGCAACCAATTGTAAGTGCCTGATCCAGAAGCAGCTTGTTCAAAAAAGCTGGATCTGCAATCTTCCTGTCACAGAGAGAATCCAGAAAAATAATGCAACTGGAAATGCCACTTCAATATGCAGTAAAAAACTGAATACTTAATACATTAGTTAGACAGCAAAACAATTGACAACAAAAAATTGAAAAGCTTAGATGACATAGACTAAGGTGTCAAACTGCCCCATGGATTTACAAAGCTTTCAACTTTGGGGCTGATATAGCCAGAGCAATGTTCATCCTGCAGAGTTTTATATCTTATATGTTCTGCTGGTGTGATTTGATCTTCATGGAAAATCGGCGCTGTCAATTCCCTTAAAGTTTTTGAAGGATACAACAAGACTGCTGCTCCTTCCAGCAGCAGATCAAACCCAAAAACTAAAAGTAAATGATCAATGCTGCCAATTCATCTCATTTCAAAATATAAAACCCATAACATTACCACATTTTGGCCGCAGAAGTATGGAAAAAGAAATTTCCTTTTTCAGCTTTGCATTCTTAGTTGTTATTGCAGTGTAGCTGTTCCAATGAACGTTTGGGCCTAATGAGTAATAAATAATAATTCTTTCATGATCTTGAACAAGCGTGACAAGTCCTGGAAGATGAGTGCCCATAACAAGGCTTTAAATAAGTGAATGATTGATGAGCCAGTAGTCAATGGCAGAGTAGAGAGTTCCCATTTTTGCCGCCGAACACTGGCAACAATGGGGATGATGGAGCAGCTGAGACTGAGGTTACCTTATCTGTTTCGAAAATTGAGATAATAATAACAAGATAATGTTATAGATGTGAGGGTATAGATGTCTTTTGGTATTATATGGCAACTTGGAAATCTGACTCTTTGTTTCTTTTGGGGCAAGGGATGTGAGGCATCTAGCGACACATCATCCCTTCAAACAAATGGTTTCATTTTCCTTTTTCCTTTTTCCTTTTTGCCAATTATGGTACCCAATGAAATTAGAAACAATCGAATTCAACCACCAACCGATTTTTCCAGTCTTCTTTTTCCTTTTCAATTTTTGTTCTATTTATCAACGGTAAAAATATTTATACAAGCTTTCAACTTTGTGGGAAGCTATAGCTGGAGCAACTTTCATTCTGAAGAGTTTTATATTTTATAGGGTTTGGTGGTGTGATTTGAATTCATGGAAAACTGGCACTATCAATATCCTACAAGTTTTTGAAGGATAAAACAAGACTGCTCCTACTTCTGCAGCAGATCAAACCCCAAAAACTCAAAAGTGATGATCAATGCTGCCAACTCATCTCATTTCAAAATAGCTCCATAATAAAACCAATTATGGCTGCAGAAGTATGGAAGAAGAAATTCCCTTTCCAGCTTTGCGTTCGTAGTTATTATTGCGGTGCAGCTGTTTTGATGGAATGTGTGGGGCTAATGAGTAAAAACCGCTCTGTTTCACTAAAAAAAAAAAACTTTCACGATCTTGAACAAGCCTAGGAAGATGAGTGCTCAAAAATGTCTGTGAAGCTAACACAATAATGATTTGAAGTAGTGACTGCAATGCTAAGAAACGTATTTGAAATTGAAAATGCAAGATACTAAAAGAAGATCTTAATTTTTTACTTTATAAGAACAACAGGAAATTAATTTAAACAGACAGAATAACTACTCTGCTCAGCAAATGATATTTCTGACATGCCACTACATACTGTATATCCAGCAGACAGATTTTTGTCCAAAAAATTTTCCCTGTGAGGAGTTTAGAGTACTGTAAGGGTGCTACATTACCTGCCGTTGAACGCCCTGGATAATCCTTGAGGAAGTAACCGAGAAATAAACCTAGCCACGGTAGGCCTAGCATTGTAAGCAAGAAAGTTCACCAATTGAGCAGAACTGACTAATCCCTGGATGAAAAGGCAGAAATTAAAGTCAGACATAGAAATAACCCGACCAAACGAGACAAGTTTGAGACAACTGCATAGCACAATTTACCATTTCATAGGCTTGCCGAAGTCCAGGTGGTAAATCCAGCATCGTCTTCTGCCACTCATTCAGCACGGCATCAACAAATTTACGATCAAACAACTGGGTAACATGGAAAAATTGTGAGTAACATGACACTGTTTGAACAAATCCAGAATTAAGCAGAAGCAATTTTCCACTTGCAGAGGCCTCTTACTTCCTGCAGTAGCATTCGTCTCCTAAAGAGCCCACCCTCATCTCCTTCATCACCATCATCGAAATCATCAAAGTAATCGTCATCATCACCATCATCATCACCTCCATCACCACCGCCATGATTTAGATTTTTCCCCATATTTCCACCTCCTCCGCCAGTTGAAAGCTGTGATGTGGCGAAATTATAAGCAAATTTGCTTGACAAAGTGTTTACTAAATAGTCACACAAGCCACAAGGTTAACAATCTTAAGATCTTGAGAGAGAATGCATAGTTGGATTAGAATGTAAATATCTTATATAGTAGCAGAAGCACCATTTCACATCATATATGCCGAACTAAAAGGTGCATTCAACTTTTTTTTTCCAACTTTTCCTTCATTGAAAAGGAAAGATACAAAAAACAGAATAAATAGCAACAAGATACCTTTGTAAAGACGCATACGCACATCTCAAATCTCGTAAGCAACTTCAGAACTAAGTATTCTTGGACACATATTGTCACTTTAGTGATACCAGACTCAGTTTAACACTTAGCATTTAAGTGTTTGAGGTTTGTCATAGTTGGTCAGACCTTTGTCAGTCGATTGCAAATAGCAACGGGAACGCCTTACTGGTAGAAAAAACATTCTTCTTGCTCCAAGAATAAAGAAAAGAGCCTGAGACCAGGCAGGCAATTCCTAAACTCTATACCAATCAATCAACTAAGCCTCATAACCCAAGCTAGTTGAGGAATCTGAAAAACTCTGGAACTTCCTAAATTTCAAATACTCGTATATTTTTAGATTAACCTCTACTTCAAAAGAACCTCACGGCCTCTTAACTGTAAGTCTTATTTCTTAGGAAGAGCCTTCTCAACTATCATTAGCAATCAGCAAGAACTATGATCAAATATTTGAGTATTAGCATAAATACACCACAGTCCACAAGGAGATAATTCTGAGACTGTTCCATTCAATTACCTAGGAAGCTATTGAAGAAATAGCTTCAAGTTTTCCAGAGTAAAGGAAAACAAGAACTAACCTCGGGAGTAGAGCTGGTCTGCTGCTTCGATGACATATCAAGCTTCCCTTTTTCCAAAGTAACCGAACCAAGCGCACCATATTTTCCCCCCTTCATCACCGGCGCAAACATGACCGTAGAAGAGGACGAAGACGCCGGATGATCAAGCGCAGGTGACCCTTGAAAGCAACGTTCCAAACCAGAAACTGGGTCTCCATCGACCGCCGGCGACGCTGTAGCCTTGATTTTACAAACTTTAAAGGCTCTAATTGGGCGACAGAGCAAAGGGGGAAACAAGGGTTTTGAGTAAGGAATGATTTGGGTATTGATAGGCTTGATTTGTGCTGTTTGGAATACTGGTAGAGACATTCTTGATTTTTCTTTTTTTGGGGCGTTTTGGATAGAAAGAATGAAACTTTATGGATAGATTTTCATGGGGGGTAATGGAGGAATGGAAAGTGGGAGTAGAGATTGCAGAAGTTGAAGAAGAAAGAAGGAAAGGTTGAGAGAGGAGTTGAGGTTTAGAAGAAGATGAAGGAGAAATAGGTAAAGACAAACCCAATCCAGAGCTGCCACTTGCTTTTTCCTCTAAACCCCCTAACTCAAAAATGCTCTACTAAATCACTTGTTAATAACTACTCCCATCTCTCAAAATTGATGTGGCAAGGCTTATTTTCAATTTGTTTGCCTTCATTTTTAGTCCGTTTTTAAATTATTGATGTGTGACATTATATAATAATGGAAAATGATGTAATTTATTTAAATATTATATTTATTAAAATAACATAATGTAATACAATACATTATGAAATAATACGTAACAACCATCCAAACACGGTCTAATGAAATATATCCAACAAAAGTATTTCTAGTATCAATTCAATCTAGTGAAACAAGTCTAATTACCAATAAGGGTTGTGGTGGGGTGGTAAGTACTCCTTCATTCTTAATCAAGAGATCTCGAGTTTGAGTTTCCGGCGCGAATCCAAATTTAGTTGGATTTTATTGTGGATACCAAACACCTGGCGGAAAACAAAAAAAAAAAAGTCTAATCTCAATGTGAGTCATATACGGTGAACAATTCCATCTTTCTCTTGATTTTTTTTTATTGTAGTACCTCGTAATATGAGTATGAAAAAGGTTCAAGAATCAGGTTTTATTTTTTTAGAAAAACTGAACTTACTTAATTTGGTTTCTTTAATATAGTGTTGGGTGAATAATATAGTGTTGGGTGAATCTCAAAAGATATGAAAAATCTATCTTCAAGTTGTACATAGGACTTCCTTTTTTATTTATACAATTTTTTTTTCTGTAAACAGTCACATTATATAACCTCAAAATATGACTTAAAGGTCGGTAAGACATTAGAACATCATTTATAATCAACTTGGGAAATTAGACTTAAGAAATTCTATATAAAAGTAAAAGAGAAAATTTAGCTAAATTATGAGCTAGCATATTCCATATACAAGGAATATAAATAAAGTTGATTTCTCTAATCAAGGGTTGCAGTAGAGTAGTAAGTACTCTTTCATTCTTAACCAAGAGGTCTCGAGTATGGAGTTGCCTTTGTCAAAGATTCATGTATTAAGGTTTGAACTTAAAACACCATTTACTGTTGTCAATACGTTTGTCTTAACTCTTTATACTTTACTTTTGGCAGGAGAAGTCATGAAGTATTAAGGAAACCGCAGAGAAAAAGAATCTCTCCATGCAAAGCATTTCTAATAAAGCCATCTTTTTTCTTCTTGAAAAAACATCTATAAAAGGCCCTTTGTATTTCTATCTAATTTGTCAATTCTGTGACACATTTATCCTTCTTTTCTTCACATAAATAAAAGAACATGCCATCGATCCCTCGCGCTCGAGTTGTTGTCAATGGAGTCCAGAGAATGAGGACATACCATTACTATTGGTGTAGACATTGTCAAAGATCCATTAGGACAACTTCAGCCAATCCATTTGAAATTTTATGTCCTCATTGTTATGGTCAAGTTTTCTATGAACTTGATGTGACAAGGCCTAGGCTTGTACTTTCTAATGTCACAAGGCTACAACCACAACCTTCCTCCAATTCTCGCCTTCTTGATGCCTTAGCACTCATGGTTGATCCACCAATTAGGCAACAAAACAACGATGGTGATGAAAATCATCGTAGGACTAGACAACGTGCTCGTGTCATTCTCCAATTTATTGGCCCTGATGATCAACCTATTAGGCCTGTCTCTCCTGATGAGAACGCGTTTAATTTTCCATCCCTTCAAGAATTGATTGATAATGACAGGCCTGGGCCACCTCCAACGCCATCTTCAGCAATCGATGCATTGCCAAGAATTTACCTAACACCAAACCTTTTGGAAAATGACTCTGTTTGTCCTGTTTGCAAGGATGAGTTTGAAGTTGGGATAGAAGTTATAGAGTTACCTTGCAAGCATTTTTATCATATTGAATGCATTGTTCCATGGCTTAGACTCCATAATACTTGTCCCGTTTGTCGGTATCAACTGCAAGGATTCTCAAACAATGAGGACCAAAATGGTTACACTTATGAATTTAATGAACAACAAGAAGAAGAGGACGAGGAGAACATCCAGAATCCTCTCATTTGGGGTTGGACTCAGCTTACCTCTCTTTGGCCTTTTAGTTTGATGTCAAGTTTGAGACACAGATACTTCAACACTTTTGAGACTACAACTTCTGCTTTTCCTAGAGGTAACATATTGCTAATACACTGACAGACATGTGACCTAAGTCATAATAACACGGGATATAAGTCCAGCTATCTGCTACAACATTATTGCTAATACTTTGTTTTGTTTTTTTGGGTAGGGAGAGCTTGGTGGAATCCTTGGATTTTCTCTTGATAATGGTTCCTTATTTCATTTAATAACAGTACAGAGTAGTTTGCTTTTTTATCATTCTTTGCTTCAATAGGAACTAAACAGGTATGTTGACAAAACTATATATCTTTCTGAATTTGATGGATGGAAATTATCTGAGAATGGGGTCAAAAAGATTCATAAGGTATGCGCCTGTCCTTCCTTCTCAGTCAAAAAAATAAATGAATGAATCTAAATTATATACACATAGGAAACTCGCAAGAACATGATACTTCATACTTATTTTGACCATTAAATATGAAATTAACCCTTTACTAATGGCTTCTAGATTTCAAGAGTGCTATCAAAGTGATGGAATTATTTTCAGCCACAAATATGCATTAGAAGAAATGGAGAGAAAGAGAAGGCCCACTATTTCCATGTTCAATGTGACTTTATGGACCAAACTTTCTATTTGTCAAAATTATATGTCTATCAAAAACCTCAAACTCAAAATGTAGTATCTTTTTAGAATGATGATGATACCATTAACAAACAAATTCATTTGTTGTGGTAGGTGAAGGAATGATTAACAAATTCCATGTAAAGAAGCTGGTGTTCTAGTAGGACTTGTTTTATATTATATTTCTTTCACTTCAATTTATTTTTCTTATTTTTTTAATTTTAATCCATTTAAAAAGATGCATCTTTTTTTTTTCGCTTTGTAGTTTGATCTTTTGCTGTCCTTATTTTTTTCTTCTTGCAGTCCTTTTTTTTTTACCCCAACAAATATAGGAGTAATTAGGTATGTCTATATTTTATTTTTTCTCAGACTTATATTTACCCTCATTTATAAAATTACACTGAATATATTATATACTCGAACGTAATTTGTAGGATTATATCAAATATATTATTATTATTATTGTATGTTTGAAATCATAAAATTAAAGAATATTTTGATACATTCTACATACATATGTAATGTATTTGTTATGTAGGTATGTTTTTTGATCGTTCACTTTTATTGTTATTGTATATGTAGAATGTATTTTATGTATTCGATATGTTCTCCAAATTCAAATCTCCTCCCCACCCCTAACCCCAAAATAAAACTATACCGGATGCATCTGCTATTTATGACAAACTACGAGGGGCGTTATAGCAATTAACACCGATTTGGCAGTCGATAAAATATCGGGTATTTGGTTCGGGTTTATAAAAAAATTTCGGAGCCAAATGGAAATGGCGGGTTGGTCATCCCTTCCATCCAATCCCAAATTTCATCAGACAATATCCATATGGGGTCCCACAACCACCCACATCATCACCAACGCCGCCGCTCTCCGCATCGGCGACGTCCTCCACCGCCGTCTTCAATCCTCTATCAAGGTACCTTCTTGATCTTGATTTTTTTATGAGTTTTCGAATGTTGTGTGCAAATTGTTCCAAATGAAAGCAGAAAAAGGAAGAGAACACTGAGAAATACAAATAACTTGTGCAACAATTAACCTCTTGATTTCTTTAGTAGGTTAGTTAAGAATCCTGACTGTTCATAAATCTAATTTTGTGAGTGCATAGCATAATTAGACTTCTGGGTTCATACTATAACTCACCTTTCGCACATTTTTATTTTTATTTTTTTGCAATTTTGTAGCAATGTCACTGTTCACACGGTTACTGAAGGATAATTCCTGTAGCCTGACATATAGTATTTGTTTTGAAAGTAATTGAAATTGAAAATCTTTGACCTGTGTCATGTTTGCCAACATGCTGCTGTATTGCTTATCAGAATCTTGGAAAAGAGTGACATGAATTCATTAGCAATACTTTGATCTGTTACAGTCAATAACCATTAGTTGGGGTTGGCTGTATAAATCCTCTATATCCATTTGATGATTCATTATAATTTGATTGTCCATCAACTCTCAGAAACCCTCATCTTTAATGTGGGTCTAAGAAAATGACTGCAAAGATTAAGGGTTGTGAGCAAATGAATTAGGCATCAGTCGTTCTAGTGGGAAGAGTCCTTTGGATGTTGAATGGTCTGGTCAACTTGTCCCGTTTCAGATAGGCAGATTTGCTTTGATGTGTTACATGTCTCCTCATAATAGGAGTATCATGAAATTCTGGAAATGCCAAGATCTTAACCGCCATTTTGCTTGTTGCGCAGCATATTTTTTGTCATGTTCATGGCCCTATATTGAAGGATGCATGGCATAAATGGACCTTTCATGTCACTGGATTCAACATCCTTCAGTGGTCACAGGATGTCTTCTCTGCCGAAGACATGAGCTTATTATTCTTCAGTGCTGATGAAAGTAGAAGGAAATTCAAAAAGATTCAGAATTCATACTCAAAGTCATCAAGATCATTCTTTTCCAGTGAAAGGAAATGGACCAACATATTCCTTGCACTTAACATATTGTAAGTTTTGCATTCTTAACCAAAACGATGTGAATATTATGATTTTTTTTTATCTTCTTTTAAAAAAATAAAATGTTTTTTTAGTTTTGGATTAATGTTTATTTAAGTCAATACCTCCCAAGGAAAAATCTCGAATTTGGATCCCAAATTGACGGTTTAGTGTGAGCTTATCATGTGGTTATGTACTCTTTGAATAGGAACCCCTTTTTTGAAAGATCCAGGCTTTCATACGTATAATCTTTTAACCTTAACCCTCTCAGAATGAAGGAAAAACCCTCTTGCAAATGTCTGAAAAAAATAAAAGCAGAAAAAGGAACCTTTCAAGTGATGATGTTGATTGGTATAATGGACAAAGAGCTATTGTTACAAAGAGAAATTAACATTTTCTATTTAAATCACTGCAGGATATATATTGCACAAGTTGCAACAGACGGCAAGCTTTTATTTTGGGGAGCTAAGGTTAGACTGGATTATATATGTAAACAGCCGACGTATCATTTTCCATAATAACAATGTTCTTATGTGTTGATGGATATGTGTTGCAGATTAACAGTCTTATTGACAAAGGGCAACTATGGAGGCTGATTACTTCATCATTCTTGCATACAAACATAGTGCATCTCATGGTCTGACTTCACTTCATGTTTTCCTGGATTCCTAAATACATCCCTTATTAATGTTTTGAAGCAGATGTGGCTTCTTTCAGGTTAATTGTTATTCCTTGAATTCGGTTGGGCCTGGTGTTGAAAAAGTTAGTGGCCCTAAAAGATATGTTGCTCTATACTTGACGTCTGCAATTGCAAGTAATGATACATCACCACAATGACATTTTTATCTCAAAGAAAATTCCTATTATACAGTGATTCTAATTGTATCCTATGAAAGAAATCAGGTTCAGCTATGAGTTACTGGCTTAGTAAGGCACCTGCAGTTGGTGCCTCAGGAGCAATTTTTGGATTAGTAAGTGATGCTATTCTTTTGCACTTTTACTGGACTTGCTAATTGGTGTATGCAACTGGGGTTATCATTTCATGTTATTTCATGATTTTCTGCCCCTTATGTCATCCAACTAATTGATATTTAATTCTTTTTACTTCTGTGGACCTATTATGTATGTAATACTTCGCCACAGACTTTATTAGTGTTGCTGGGAAAATTGACTTGCCTTCGAGTTGTATGTAGTTCACGAAAAAGTAGACTTTTAAGATTCAACTATCATTGTACATATTATTTTCTTTGATGAAGTTGTGTTTCTGGCCAATACAAGGAATCCATTGAAGTATGGATCTTTCTGAACAGCTGTTGAGGAAATTAAAGAATTAGACTTACCTCTTTTTCATTTATCAGGTTAAGAAATACTGATCTCCACGTTTTTGTGTCATTACCAGGTTGGATCTTTTGCAGTATTCGTTTTGAGGCATAGGGGCATGGTCAAAGGCACCGAGGGGGATCTTCGATACATAGCAAATGTGATTGTTCTAAATTTGGTAAAACACTTCATTCCCTACCCAGCTCAATGCACTTTTGTTGGCTTTCACCAAGCGAGTAATTGGGGCATATCTTATTATTAAGCATATTCTCCAAATTTATATGTTCTTGTGATCTTTAATAGGGTGAAGATGCTATTAGTGGTTTAAGGAATGAAAATTAATCATAAAAACTGCACATATCTGTGCTCAGTACCTGAGAACCATAATACTTACACGTCTATTGATTCATAAGTATCAAGTTTGATCTCTTTTTCGAATTTCAGTCCTAATTCATCTAGTGCTGGCAACCATTTTCCTTGCAGGCAATTGGACTAATGACCAAAGGAATCGACAACTGGGGACATGTTAGTAATATCTAACTTTTCCATCATGTTTTTGATCTGGATGCATTCCCACCAAAGCGCTTGCTTTTTATCACATAACTATTTATGAGCCTGCTTTTTTATTTGTAACGACAATTAATGGCATTGCGAGCTTCTCCCATGTGCATCTTCTCCTCTTTTTGTTGCTGTTTTTAACCTCTGGTGAGAGAAAAGAAAAAAAATATATCAAGATCATTGCCTGTAATTTTTCACTTTATCCAATTAGTAAGCCATATTTAAGAGCTTTGTTTTCGAGAATGCAAAGTCTCTGTGGTGTCTCATGTTCCGACAAAGGTTTGTTCATCTCGTAAAAGGTGTCTTCCGCTTGTTGTACATTCTGTGAGTTTTAAAATTTTATTTTTTCATATCGAGAAATCTGTCTAGAGCCAATTTAGGACCAACCTCAACCTTCTCTGATGTTTTACCAAATCTGTATTTAGAAAAAAAGGAAGTAGTATGGGAAGAAAAATCATTGCTCTTCTGGTTACATCTTTTCTCTTTGTTTCTGATAACTGTAGTGTCCGGACTGGCTTGTGTGTACCTCAACTGGTCACGTCCTTCTCTTCTTCTTTGTACTTCCTCCTCCACCTCTTCTTTTTGTTTTGCTTTTGTTTTTTGTGCCCTTTCACTTTGTTTTAAATGCAGTAGATGTGTTTAATAAGTACATAAATACATCCAAGTCAAACAATTATTTACATTGGCATATGTTTGAATGCTTGTCTGATTTTCTAACTCTTTTCTCATTAACATTTCAGCTCGGAGGTTTAATAGGAGGAGCTGCAACATCATGGCTTCTTGGCCCAGCATGGAAGATTCAATCCGTCTCCAGTGAAGGAAGACGAGTTTTTGCTGACACAGCACCAATTTTTTCTCTCATTCCAACTAAAAGGGACGAGTCATAATCCCTACTATTTAACTGCTAGTGTG